ATGGCAATCGACATATACAGCGCTAATAATACAATGAAGAGATTAATTGACTTAAATTGTTTTAATAATTATGAGCGAAATCGTCTAGATGAATTATTTAGTCTATCATTATTTGACAAATCGTACCTGGATGAACCTAAATTCATACATTCAGATGTTAGTGACTTTAAATATCAATTAGTTGTTAGCGCCGATTACATAATGAAGGAATCTGTTAAAAAGTTTGACCAAAATATGGCTAAATTTGTTAATAATATTCAACCCTTAAAAGCATTTCAAAATATATGTTTTAATGACAGAATCGCCATGATCAAATACGGCTGCATAGAGATTAATTTGCTAAAAACATGCTCATTTTATAAATATGAAATAGCCGGATGGTATCTCCCATTGGTATGTAATAAACATTATTAATTAAAAGTTTATTAATTATGACAATTTGTATATAGCGTGAATATAATAATTTTTGGGTATGTGTGCCGTTGGATACAATCACAGGCCTAAAGAATAACGTGATTAGTCTTTTAAGTATATATTTGAACACTTTTGTCACCGAATTTGACTCCGATATACATATCATTGAATTGGTATTTATTTATGATTTTATAATTTATTTTATTTAACCAATCATATAATATGTGTATTTATAACAGTTAATGCCATTAATGCTATTCAACCCCGATCGACCAAACATAATAAACAGGGATGTTATCGAGTAAGCCATATTTAATGTAACATTTGTTGTTTATTATTAATACAGAATATTCTTGTGATTTATAATAGACAACAACAACAGCTATACCTGTATTTACTTCGAAAATATTTGCGTATAAAATATGGCAACGATTTTGACGACAAGTATTCAAAAATATCAAATATTTTGCGAGATTTTCAAGTGTTGAATGAATTACATAAACAAAACTATAAAGATATGAATTCGCAAATTTGTAATCCACTTCTTAAAGAGATTCTTGATTCGCCAGAAAATTGTAAATCAAATTAAATAAATAATTAACTAAGATAATTATTTTTAAAATATAACTGTTATATATTTGTAAAATTCATATTTTTAAATTAATTATGATCACTGTTACTGTAATTAAGAATTAATTAATAATTGATTTTATTAATTACATGCTTCAATGTAAATGATCAATATTTCTATGTATAAATCTTTATATTGATTAAAAAATTATTTTAATGTTTAATACTTTAATTTTAAATTATTCTGTGAGATTAATCTGCATTTTCTATTACATATAGATATAAATTTTCTATACTAGAGAGTGTCTTAAAAAATGCTTATAAATATACAGAATATGTAATTTATCAATACATAATTTATATATTTAATAACAACTGTTGGATTATTTTTAATATTATTATTGTTTCCATAGAAATTGATAAACTTATAATAGTATTGCATTCTTATAATAAAATCACTTTAGTTTTCATTAATATAAAATCAACGCAAAGTATAATTTAATTTAATTACATTACAATATTTTTCAAAATATTAAAAAACATCGTTTAAAAGTATTTTATATATTATTTTTATTGATAATATGTGTAAATAATGCCGAGATATAGAAAATCAAAACCTATTAAACCCAAAGTGTGTGCAGTATGCGGCGAAAAAGCAATAGGTAATTATTTATTTTAAAATAACTTGCATGTTGATTATTTTAAAAATATCTATTATATAATAATTATAAGGAAATAACTTCTCTGCCATTACTTGTCAATCATGTAAAGCATTCTTTCGGAGAAACGCATTGAGTTATGAGGTATTAAACAAATGTAACCAAAAATAATAATAATATTAATTATTTTAACTATCAATAGAAAATTAACTGTAAATTCAGTGGCGATTGTATTATCGATATAAAGCACCGGAGAATATGCCAGAAGTGTCGGCTCAGGAAGTGCTTTAATGTCGGAATGAAAAGAGTAATTATAAAAACAAAACTGAATTATGATATTTTTAATAATAATTTATTATTTGTTATAAAGGAATGGATTCTTAATGAAGAGGAGAAGGCGTTGAGAAGACATCAAATCGAGGAAAACAGAAAGTGGAGAACAATTGGCTTGAAATACAAATATTATGACAATTCAATTACCAGTACTTCATCTGATGTGTCAATCAATGAAACAATTGATAATACAGTGGATAATACCATAAGAGATGATGAGATCAGTGAATGTATTACACAAATGGCAAACAATGATCCAAATGAGATGACAGATGCGATAAATGTAAACCATATATCTGTAAATTCTTCAGACAATGTGTCCATTTTTACTGATGTAAACCAAATACAAAACATGTGTATCAGTGATAACACCAGCGATAACTCGATGGCTATCGACATATTCAGCGCTAATAATGTAATCAAAAGATTAATTGATTTAAATTGTTTCAACATTTTTGAGCAAAAACGTATCAATGAATTGTTTGGTCTCTCAATGTTTTACGAGCCTTGTAGGGATAACCCAAAATTTACTTACCCAGATTCAAATCACATTAAATTAGTCATGTCTTATGACTATATTATGCAAATTTCTGCGCAAATTAAACTATTGTCTAATTTTCTTGAGCACCTTTTATAAGTTAGTTTTGATGCATTTCAAAGTCTATGTTTAAATGATCGAATCGCCATGGTCAAATACGGTTGCATTGCGTTTAATCTGCTTAAAGCTGGCGCATTTTATAAACGAGAAGTTGCCGGACTATATTTTCCTATGGTATGGATGTATTTTATAATTATCTTATTGTATATTTTTTATGTGGCCAATATTTATTAATTTATTTAATTACTATGGTCATTTTAATAATAGAACGGCCAAGATAATTGGGTAGCACTGTCTTTGGAGTCAATCACAGGTCTACAAACCGATATTCACAGCCTATTTAAGTCTTATTTTGAAACTTTTGTCACGCATTTTGACTCTGATATACATATTCTTGAATTGGTATTATTTTAAATTTTACCATCAGTTATACTTAATTATTTACATTTAAAATGTATATTTATTAAAACAGATAATGCCTGTACTCCTATTCAATCCCGATCTGCCAAACATTATCAACAGAGATAGCATAGAGTAAGTCATTAAAGATTTTTGTCTAATATTAATAGTCTATTAATAATAGAGATTATCTTATTATTTACAATAGACTACAACAACAGCTATACCTGTATTTACTTCAGAAATATTTGCGTATAAAATATGGCAACGATTTTGACAACAAATATGCAAAAGTATTAATTATTTTACGAGACAATAAAGTATTGAATGAATTATATAAACAACGGTATAAACAATCGGATCCACAATTCTGTGGTCCACTTCTTAAAGAGATTCTTGATTTACCAGCTAATAGTCAATCAAATTAAATATTTGTGAAATTAAAATAATTATTTTGGAAATATATAGTTTATATAATTGTAAAACATTAATGTAATGTACAGTATTAAATATGATTACTTTCATTTTATTTAACAAATAATCAATGTTATTAATATACTGTACAGTATATTATCAATAAAGCACTTCAGTGTAAATAATCAAGAGTTCTGGCAATGAATTTATGTTACTTTGTCGATGGGGTGCAACTAAAACATAATGATAAGACAAATATAAATTTACGATAACTGAATATATTCTCAAACATGTAGGTGAAATTTAATTTATACACTTATATTGTACTCATTTTACAGTAAATTATACCCTTGAAATTACACTGTGTTATTAATTATACTGTATTGTTTTTCCATATCCTCATTTTACCATAGTAATTAACTAGTTTGTACAATATTACATTCTGGTGACAAAATAATACTGTTACAAATATCTAAACTTAGGTGTCAGTATTTAATTATAAATATCAACATAATTATAATTACTATTATATAATTAACTAATATTTAATAAAATAATTGTTTATAAGTTATAAATTATAACTAATATTACTACGATAATAATGCCGAGGTATAGGAGACTAATTGGTAATAATCCTATGGTCTGTGGTGTTTGTGGAGCAACTGCCGTTAGTAAGAATTAAATCAAATAAACCCATGGTGATTATCATGTTTTATTAATTAACATTAATTAATAAAATTATTATATTCCGATGTTGAAAACACGGTAATGAACAGTCAGCACATTTCGTAAGAAAGCTTCTGTACGGAAATTAATACTCCATACTCTATAACTTACTAATTTTTTGTCTAACATATAAAATGGTAATTTTAATTGTTTTTATAACAAATAGAAATATAAATGTAAGTTTAGTGACGACTGTGTTATCGACAAAACGTATCGCAAATGGTATGAGATATTGAATGATTAATTTTGTCTAACATATAAAATGGTAATTTTAATTGTTTTTATAACAAATAGAAATATAAATGTAAGTTTAGTGACGACTGTGTTATCGACAAAACGTATCGCAAATTATGCAGAAAGTGTCGGCTCAAGAAGTGCTTCGCTGTGGGCATGAAAAAGGTATATATAAAATGAGATTAACATATAATATATTAATACATAATATAATGTTATAAAGGAATGGATTCTTAATGAAGAGGAGAAGGAATGGCGAAGACATACAATTGAGACAAACAGACAGCTGAGGAGAAATGGTTTAAAAAACACGACTTATGATAATTCAGTTACGAGTACTTCATCTGATGTGTCAAACGCCGAGACAATTGACAATACAGTGGATAATACCTCAATAGATGATGAGATCAGTAGATGTATTACACAAATGGCAAACAATGATCCAAACGAGATAACAGATGTCATAGATGTAAACGCTATATGTGTCACATCTCCAGACAATGTGTCCATTTTCACTGATTTAAATCAAATACAAAACACGTGTATCAGTGATAACACCTCGCTATTGAGCTACCGACAGCTGTATAAGTCGCGGTTATTACGATAGTTTGCTTATTAATTAAGTTTAACAAAGTTGTGTAAACTTGTTTTTGCAGAGTTACTTAACAAACGTGAAAGTTACAAAAATAAGCCTTTCAAGGATCATCCCAAATTTATTAACCCAGATGTTAATGACATTAAATTAAACGTGTCTTTTGATTATATGATGCAAATATCTGCGCAAAAATTTAATAACAGGGTAACAGAACTTGTGAAAAATATTCAGAATGTTAGTGCCTTTCAAGGCCTATGCTTAAATGATCGAATCGCCATGGTCAAACACGGTTGTATTGCCTTTAATTTGCTTAAAGCGAGCGCATTTTATAAACGTGAAGTTGCCGGCTTATATTTTCCTATGGTATGTATACAAATTATTTTATAATATGTCTATATATTGTTTATGTAACCATTTTTTATTTATTTATTTTCAACTATTGGCATTTTCATGATAGAATGACCAAGATATACCAATTGATTCGGATTATTCAGATAATTGGGTTATACTGTCTTTGGAGTCAATCACAGGACTACAGACCAGTCTTTTTAAGTTTTATTTCAGCGCTTTTGTTACAGATTTTGACTCTGATATCCATATTCTTGAATTGGTATTATCTTAAATTTGACCATCATTATGTGTGCTTGTAATTAATTATTTGTGCTTATTTATACAGATAATGCCTGTACTCCTATTCAATCCCAATCTACCAAACATTATCAACAGAGAAAGGATAGAGTAAGATATGAAATACTATTGTTTAATATTAATACATGATATGATTGCAATTTCTAATAGATTACAACAACAGCTATACCTGTATTTACTTCAAAAATATTTGCGTATAAAATATGGCAACGATTTTGATAACAAATATGAAAAAGTTTTAATTATTTTACGAGACATTGAAGTATTGAATGAATTTTATAAACAGCGGTTTAAGGAAATGAATTCCCGATTGTGTGGTCCACTTCTCAAAGAGATTCTTGATTTATCAGCAAATAATTAATTAAAATAAATGTTTGTTTAATTAAAATATTTATTTTAAAGCTATCATAGTAAAACATATACAGTAAAGTACTGTATATTACTTATTTTATTATGATCACTTTAATTTTAACTTAATCTTAATGTTATTAAACTTGATAAATTACAAATCTATAAAATTATACTGTTAATGTGGTAAATTTTTAAAGAGAATTTGTGTCATGGTCCTGTAAACCACTAAAAAATATTATATTTGTCGCAAAAATATTAAAATAATATAGAAAGTTAGTTTTAATCATTATTTTCTTATAAAACTATACATAATTATCTATATCACACAAAAAGTATTTATTATAACAACACTTCAATTATTATCACTTATTATCACTTTGTATGTCTCCATAGAAATTGATAAAATTATTAACACAGAAATTCTTATAACGAAAGCACTTTTGATTTTAATCATAAAAACAGTAAAAACAGAATACAAACTATGATTTTGCAAAATTGTATACAACATAAAGTAATAAGTTATCATAATTATTATTATCATTGTTTTAACAACAGTTAAGATATTATTTCTAATTACTATTTGTAAATCGGATTGATTTAAATAATGCCGAGATTTAGGAAACTAAAGGTTAAGAAAACCCAATTCTGTATGGTTTGCGGCGACGAAGCAACAGGTTAGATTTAAATTCAACAAATTGATCATGTTTATTTATATAATTATAATTAATATTTCTCAATAATAAGGTTACAATTTCGGTGCCATCGCTTGTCAGTCGTGTAAATCATTCTTTAGGAGAAATGCATTCAATTATGAGGTATAAGTAATATAATCACAAATAATAATAATATTTTGCAATAATAATAATAATAGTTTTAAAAATCAATAGACATATAAATGTAGGTATAATAACGATTGTATTATTGACCAAAAGTACCGCAAAATATGCAAAACATGTCGACTCAAGAAGTGCTTCGCTGTGGGCATGAAAAAAGTGATTACAAATTGAGAGTAATTTAAAATATTTTAAAATAATAATATATTTGTTATAAAGGAATGGATTCTTAATGAAGAGGAGAGGGAATCGCGAAGATATCTGATTGAATTCAACCGAAAGATGAGGACAAATGGTGTGAAAGACATAAATAGTGATAATTTAATTACAAGCACTTCATCTGATGTATTAAATGCCGACACAATTGACACTTCAATTCATAATTCAGTGAATAATACTATAATAGATGATGAGATCAGTGAATGTATTACACAAATGGCAAACAATGATCCAAACGAGATGATAGATACGATTGATGTAAACGCTATATGTGTCACATCTCCAGACAATGTGTCCACTGATGTAAACCAAATACAAAACATGTGTATCAGTGATAACACCAGCGCTAACTCAATGGCTATCAACATATTTAACGCTAATAAGCGATTATTGAATATAAATTATTTCAACAATTTTGAGCTAACTCGTCTCGATGAATTATTTGGTCTATCATTGTTTTACTTGGATTATCAAAATCACCCTAAATTTATTTACCCCGATGTTAATAGTGGTAAATTAGTTCTGCCCTACCACGATCTTATGAAAGAATCAGCTAAAGAATTTGAAGTGATGTTAACAAAATTGGTGAAGAATATTAATAACCTTGGTTCATTTCAAAGCATGTGTCTAAATGACAAAATAGCCATGGTCAAATACGGCTGCATGGCGTATAGCGTGGTTAGAGTTGCCTCATTTTATAAACGTGAAGTTTCTGGTCTATATTTTCCCATTAATGTAACAATTATTTTATACACGTTTTACTCAAATTATTTGCCTATCTAATATTTATTAATTTGTTCACCTTGTTTATGTTTAATAGCGTCACCGAAACACCTGGATGATAATGCCTTTGGAGTCAATCGTGGGTCAAAATAATGTTATGTTTAGACAATTGGAGTTTTATTGCAACACTTTTGCTAATGATTTTGACTCTGATATACATATTCTGGAATTGGTATTATTTTAAATATAAACATTAATTATAAGCAATTAAATTCTACTTATTAACTGTAGATAATGTCGGTAATTCTATTCAACCCCGATCTGCCAAACATTATCAACAGAAATAACATAGAGTAAGCTATAAAACATTGTTTTTTAAATATTAATACAAAATATTCTTATGATTTATAATAGACTACAACAACAGCTATACCTGTATTTACTTCAGAAATATTTGCGATTAAAATGTGGCAATGATTTCGATAACAAATATTCAAAAATATTAATTATTTTACAACATTTTAAAGTATTGAATGAATTACATAAACAGCAGTTTAAGGAAATGAATTCCCAATTCTATGGCCCACTTCTCACAGAAATTCTTGATTTTAAATCAAATAGTGATTCAAATTAAAAATTAGTTTAATTAAAATAAGTATATTGGTTGAAATGTAAATATTTGATAAATTATAAATATAAAACAATTAATATCATGTCATTCTTGTAAGTAATTTGTAATATGAACTTCTAACATTTTTAAAAGTTGTTATTTACTTTGTAAAAATAAAGCATTTTGATAAAACAAATATATGAAAATACCAATACCTACTTGCATATAACTAGAAATTTCCTAGCATATAACCAAAAATAAATATCTACAGTTTATATTAAACAGTAATTGTTTAGTAACTGTTGTTATTTTAAAATTCGTTATGATAACAACACCTCAATTAATAATGAAAAATACTGTATTATTATCAATTAGATGACAATTATCTTCATAGAAATTAATACCACTAAAATCCGCTTAACTAGATCATTTATTTGATAAATATAAAATTGAAAATACGTATTATTTAGCGAAATTGTGCACTGGGTAACCATGTACAATATTTTACAAATATTTGTATATTAATAATTTGCTTAAACAATAATTATAAAATTATTTTTGTCGGTAATTTTTGTAAATTATTAAATTTAATGTCGAGTTATACAAAAGCCTTGGCTAATAAACCCATGGTCTGTTTGGTTTGTGGTGGAGAAGCAAATGGTTAGAATATAATTCATTAAATCTATCATGTATGGTTGTATAAATCAACATTTTATCATCATTATTTTTGTTCAATTATTGATATAAGGATACAATTTCGGAGCAATCGCTTGTCAGTCATGTAAGGCATTCTTTAGGAGAAATGCATTCAATTATGAGGTATAAGAAATATAATTATAAATAATAATAATATTAATTGTCATTACAATCAATAGACATATAAGTGTAGGTTTAGTGGCGATTGTATTGTCGACAAAAAGTACCGCAAAATATGCAAAACATGTCGACTCAAGAAGTGCTTCGCTGTGGGCATGAAAAAAGTGATTATAAAATGACATCATTTCTCATATTTTAATAATAATATATTTATTATAAAGGAATGGATTCTGAATGAAGAGGAGAGAGAATCGCGAAGACATTTGATTGAATTCAACCGAAAATTACGGACAAATAGTGTTAAAAACATTAATAATAATAATTTAATTACGAGCACATCATTTGATGTGTCAAACACCGAGATAAATGGCATTTCAATTAACAATGCAGTGAATAATAACATAATAGATGGGATCACTGAATGTATTGCACACATATCAAACATTGATCCAAACGAGATAATAGATGTGATCGATGTAAACGCTATATGTGTCACATCTCCAGACAATGTGTCCATTTTCACTGATGTAAACCAAATACAAAACATGTGTATCAGTGATAACATCAACGATAACTCGATGGTTATTGATAGTTACAGTGCAAACAATATAATTAAAATATTAATTGATTTAAACTGTTTTAATAATTTTGAACAAAAACGCCTAGATGAATTGTTTGGTCACGCATTATTTTACTTGCCTTACCATGATCACCCTAAATTTATTTGCCCAGATGCTAATAGTGCTAAATTAATATTTTCGTATAATTATCTTTGGCAAGAATCTGCCCAAAATTTTGATCAATGGTTAACAGAACTCGTGGGTAAAATTCAAAATTTTAGCCCATTTCAAAGTCTATGTCTAAACGACCAGATAGCCATGATCAAATCTGGCTGCATGGCGCTCAGAATACTTATAGCCGGATTAAATTATAAACGTGAAGTTTCTGGTCTTTACTTGCCCATGGTATGTATTCAATTAGTTTATACTTGTTCATAATTGTTTAATGCATATTGTTTAAACAATTTATTTAATTTATTTATTATTATAGTCAGATCAACAAACTTGGGTATCATTGCCTATCGAATCATTTCTAGGACAACAGACCCTAATGTATAAACTATTGATGTTTTATTTTAACGTTTTTGTCACCGATTTTCACTCTGATGTACATATTCTTGAATTGGTATTTATTTTACGTTTAACTCTTGTCTATAATTAATTAATTAACGCATATTTAAACAGATAATGCCTGTAATGCTCTTAAACCCCGATCTGCCAAACATTATCAACAGAGATAGCGTTGAGTAAGTAATAAAATACACTAATGTTTAATATTAATACAGAATATGATTGCAATTTACAATAGACAACAACAACAGTTATACCTGTATTTACTTCAGAAATATTTGCGTATAAAATATAGCAATGATTTCGATAACAAATATTCAAAAGTATTAATTATTTTACAAGACTTTAAAGTATTGAATGAATTACATAAACAAGAGTACATAAAATTGAATTCCCAATTCTGTGGTCCACTCCTCAGAGAGATTCTTGATTTGCCAGCAAATAGTCAATCAAAGTAAATATTTATTAAAATAATTATTTAATAACTAGGAATATACCCCGATATTAAAATTGAATTTAAATTTATACATTGAGCTAACTTTTCTGGCCAACATTGTTTGTAAAAAATTTCGAGTAAATTATTTATAAGTTTGTATTTAAAAGTAGATCTAAATATTTTTAATGAATCGTAATAGAAAAACTATGTAAATCATAGTATATTTGCTGTGATTTATAATAATTTATTTACCGTAAAATAAAAATACGTTTTGTATTATAAAAAATCATTTTCTTTATTATTGTTTATTAAATACAAAATAAATTATATTAAAGTATAAATTATACAATCATTACATTTTGTGGACAAACTTTTTATGGCTAAACAAATTGTTAAAACCAGTGGCCGAGTACTCACATCCGGGCCATTGACACACATATGGGCGCACATTGTTGTGGATATTCATGTGATCTTTGAGTGTCTGTAGATTTTTATAGCGTTTATCACAATCGGGCCAAACGCACACATGTGGTCGCTCTCCCGTATGCTTACGCTTATGTACATTGATATGTTCGCCGATAAACTCACATCCGGGCCAATCGCACGGCTTTCGTTGTTTATGTATAATTCGTTTCCTGTTGTGGACAGCGATCTGATGAGTGCGTCGCTGATAGTTAATGAAAAACATTTCGTTACAGCTATCGACGCCGCACCTGAGCGTCGGTTCGCTCCGATGTGACCGCGAGTGATACTTAAGACCGTGGGTTGTCGTGAATGACTTTCCGCACCCGTCGACCGGACAGTTCAACACAGATCTGTCCGCCGAATGCGAGACCTGATGGCTCTGCAGATGCCGTATCGTAAGGCCCGCATACGCGCAATCTTTGTAATCACATTTAAATTGTTTGATATTTTTATGGATCGCTAAATGGGTGGCCAAACCCGAACTGTTTTTGTATATTTTATCGCACCCATCATAATGGCATTTATATCGGGGTTCGCTGTGAACTTTATATAAATGACTGGAAAATGAATTACGCGATGGCAATGACTTCTGGCACTCAATTCCCGGACACTTCCAGGCCTTTGTCTTCGGATCAAAGCATCGTTTTATCTCACATTTGTTTAGTGCAAAGACTTTGGTGTATTGTATGAGTAGTTCCGCCCCTTTGACCACAGATTCAATGCTCTCAGCATTGCATACACTGTCCGTCGAGTGTGTCTTCAGATGTAGTTTCAAATACCCATCGCTAATGGCTTTAGACTCACAGCCATTGTGTGGACAATGAAATAGTTTCGCATTTTTATGTCTCCATAAATCTAATCTAAAGCCGAGTCTTGTTTCAAACACTTTCTCACATCCGATGTATTGACACACATATTGACTGACGGTTTGAATGCCGGAAGTGTTGTCTTCAATGGTCTCATCCATTGTTTGCTTCACTTCTTTGGGTTTACGTATTCTTTGCCTCATTTGTGGATCACTTGATGTCCTCTTCGTATGACTTAATAAGAATGTCTTGTCTTCCAATTGATCCGCTCTTTGAGACAATTGCTGGAAGTCTTGTCTGTCATTACAATTGAGTTCTTCTATGACTTGTGAACATAGGTTTTGGTTATCACTTCTTAGATTCAATTGTTGATCATCTGATGGTCTCTTCAGTCGGACATTAGTGCCAAACATTATCTCAATCATATCTGAAGAGATCTTTCGGTCACTCATTTGATCCATTTGTTGAGATAATGTCCGGAAGTGTTGATTGTCTTCTGAATCGATAAGTGTTTCATATTTTGAGTGAATTTTAATTAAATGTGTTTTCAATTCATTNTACTAATAATTGAATCCATAATTCAATTCAAAATCACATTTAAAACTAATTCACAATTAATTTGAATACAAATTAAGTGCAAAACTAAACAACAATTGAATCACAAAAATGTCAACAAAAACACAACCATTTGTAACTTAAAGGGAATGTCTATTAATTACGTAAACATTTTTTATTACATTTGAATACAATTTAGTGCTAAAAGTTTACAATTAATGACAATTTTCACAATAATTATCATAAACTTTATTTAATTAATGAAATAATTTTTTAAATAAAAATTAGTGCTAAAATATACTGAAACAGTCAAACAAACACAACGTTAGTACAGACCCGACAGCACCGGGAGATTCATTACATAGCCTGTGCTCAGAGGGGAGACTCGGGGCAGCAATTGGTGGATATAATTAACTATACCTATAGTTAACTATTAGTTTAATTATTAGTTTAATTATAAGAAATTAAAGTGTTGCTATTTATTTACAAATTTAAATTATATTAATTCTCAGGCGATCATTATTACTTGCTTATAAAGTTTTATTTATCATTGCATTAACTTATTTTCACTATTACTTATGTTTATGTTCCATAGGAATTGTTCAGATAATTAGATATTATATTAAGTTAATTATTTGTGAAATTAAAATAATTATTTTAAAAATATATGTAATTGTAAAACATTAATATTATGTATTAAATATGATTACTTTCATTTTATTTGAGAAATAATTAACTGTACAGTAGATTATCAATAAAGCACTTCAGTGTAAATAATCAAGAGTTCTAGCAATGAATTTATGCTACTTTGTCTATGGGGTGCAACTAAAACATAATGATAAAACACAAATAAGATAACTAAATATACTTTCATACATACGATTGATATTTAATTTATACACTTATATTGTACCACATTTAGGGTACATTATAGCCTTCAAACTACACTGTGTTATTAATTATACTGTATTATTAGTAATAATAGTTATAATTTATTACTCGTTCTCCTAATTTTACCATAGTAATTGATTAGATCGTACAATATTACATTCTGGTGACAAAATAATACTGTTTTTTAATTTACCGTATATTAAATAAATGTAATGTATGACTAAACGAATTTGTAAATTACGTGACAGTATTTAATTATAAATATTAGCATAATTATAATATTATCATATAATTAACCAACATTTTATAAAATAATTGTTTATAAGTTATAAATTATAACTAATATTAATACGATAATAATGCCGAGGTATAGGAGACAAATCGCTAATAACCCAAAGGTCTGTGTTGTTTGTGGAGAAACTGCCATTGGTAAGAATTAAATCTAATTAACCCATGATGATTGTAATGTTTTAAATTAATCACAATTAATTATTTTTAAAAATAAGGCTACAACTTTTGTGCCATTACTTGTCAGTCATGTAAGGCATTCTTCAGGAGACATGCCTTTAATTATGAGGTATGAGATATTGAGTTTTGTCTAAAATATAAAATGGTAATTTAAATTATTTTTTATAACAAATAGATATATAAATGTAAGTTTAGTGACGACTGTGTTATCGACAAAAAATACCGCAAATTATGCCGAAAGTGTCGGCTCAAGAAGTGCTTCGCTGTGGGCATGAAAAAAGTAATTATAAAATGAGATTAACATATAATATAATAAAAGTTATAATATAATTAAAAATAATTTATTATTATATTTGTTATAAAGGAATGGATTCTTAATGAAGAGGAGAAGGAATGGCGAAGACATGCAATTGAGACAAACAGACAGTTGAGGAGAAATGGTTTGAGAGACACGACTTATGACAATTCAATTACCAGTACTTCATCTGATGTGTCAAAAGCCGAGTCAATTGACACTTATATTAACAATTCAATTGATAATACAGTGGATAATGACATCATAAATAATAATATAACTGAATGTATTACGAAAATGGCAGACATTGATCCAAACGAGATAACGGATGTCATAGATCTATACGACATGTCTGACGAAAGTAATATCATTATTAACACAGATTCAGAGCAAACACAAGACACATGTATTAGTGATAACACCAGCGCTAACTCAATGGCTGTCGACATATTCAGCGCTAATAATACAATAAAACAATTAATTGATTTAAATTGTTTCACCGATTTTGAGCGAAATCGTCTAGATGAATTGTTTGGCCTTTCAATGCTTCACTTGCCTTTCCACAATCATCCAAAACATAAATACCCCGATGTTAATGACACGCAATTAGTGCTGTCATATGATTTTATTATGGAAGACGCCGCTCAACAATTTGACACTAGATTAACAGAACTCGTGGCAAATATTCAACATTTTAGCCCATTTCAAAGTTTGTGTTTAAATGACCGAATCGCCATGGTTAAATACGGCTGCATGGATTCAACCTGCTTAGATCTGGCACCTATTATAAGCCCGAGTTTAATGGCTGGTATTTTCCCATGGTATGCATTCACTGTTTATATACTAATATATTTAGTATAGTATAACTGATATTGTTCTTATTAAACTAATCATGGTATTTTAAAAATAGAATTACGATGTTAATAATTGGGTATCAATACCATTAAAGTCAGTACAAGGAATAAATTCTTATATGTATAAACATATGATGTTTTATTTTAACACTTTTGTCACCGATTTTGATTCCGATATACATATCCTTGAATTGGTATTATTTTGAATATGATCATAATTTAATTAAATTTACCATAATTATAATTATTTACTTATTGAAACAGATATTGCCTGCTATATTATTTAACCCTGATCGGCCAAACATTATCAACAGAGAGTACATAGAGTAAGTCATAGATCATTATTGTTAAACATTACTACAGAATATTCTTGTGATTTACAATAGACTACAACAACAGCTATACCTGTATTTACTTCACAAATATTTGCGTATAAAATATGGCAATAATTTTGACAACAAATATGAAAAAGTATTAAATATTTTACGAGATTTTAAAGTAATGAATGAAATATCAAAACAATGGTATAAAGATATGAACTCCTCATTTGGTGGTCCACTACTCAAAGAAGTCATTGATTTGCCAAATAATCAATTGAATTAATAAATATTTATTAAAAATAATTATGTTTAAAGTTCATATTTGTAAGATATTCATGTTATGTATATTAATTGGATTATATAATTTCATTTAAACCAATCGCCTTTGTTAAAATGTAATTTCATGTAACTTTCATTTTGATTAAAAATAAATAAATAAGATTATAAAGTATCTTTATATCCATGTGTTAACAATTACATACTTTATTGCAAATAAAATATTAGTATTTAATTATAACTAAATTTAATAAATTAAGTCTTCATTAAATAGTCAATCAACTGAAAATTAATAAAATACACAGGTAATAGAAACCAGGTTACATGTATACAGGTATAACATTTACAATACTGCATACAAGGAACATTGAAACCTTTAGATAAGTTTTCGATAAAATAAAAATTATGCAATTTTACATTGTAACAATCTATCTCTAAAACTTGCCTGCCTTACTCGTAAATATGATAACATTAATTATATTATGCTTAAATCAAGTGTTTACCGTACATTGTTTTAATTATTTAACAAGTAACTTAAAACATGTCGATCGTTGCCATATAAACATTGTCTACTACTCATAAAAATGATTTCAAAAAACCATTTTTAATTTATAAATTAACAAATACAGTGTATTGTAACACTAGTTAAATACCCTGCCCACTTATTAAGAACCGTGGTAACAGCCATTTACTCCGAAAAATATATTAATATATTTATAAGCCATCTATCATAAAAAATAGTGCTTGTATAATTATCTGTGCTGTACATCTTAGGTAGAGTAATACCACATTAAAATAAATATTTTGTTACATTATGATAATTCACAAAAACTATATATAAATTAAAACATATTATTTTCAAAACTATAAAAGTTAAATAAAATTTATTTAAATTAAAATGCAATCAAATAAAGTGCCAAAATTATGCATGATTTGTGGTGAGAGATCCACAGGTAAAATGAATTATAATTTATTATAGACATATTTTTACTGCATAATAATAATTTTAATTAATTAGGCTATAATTTCTGTGTCCTAACCTGTCATTCATGTAGGACATTTTTCCGTCGAAATGGACTCAACGATTATGTAATTTATATTTCATTTACTTATTATATACATTATATATTAATTATTATGTTCATTAATTTAATGAATGAATAATGAATTTAATGAATGTTCATTAATGAATAATGAACACAATTGTTTAATGTTCATAATACTTTTATTTTAAATTTACGTAAATATTTATAGTTTTTTAATATAATTTATTGTAACAAAAACACGTCTGTATTGGAAATCAGCTTTTGTTGTATGCATTACGTGTCTAAATATCAATAAATTCAATTCAATTCAATTCAATAATACTGCTATTAATATTGTTATTAATTTATATTAACAATAATTACAGTAATTATTAAATTAATTTCTTATTAAAACAGACACAGAGTTTATGCAAAGCGGGCAATAAATGTGTGATTACTGTCGAGAATCGCAGGCATTGCCAGAAATGTCGGCTCAAAAAGTGTTTTGAAGTCGGAATGAAACGAGTAATTAATTGTTTTAATTAATTTTATGCTTTATTTGGCAATTAAAATGTTTTTACGGTATTTTACGGTATGTTTAGGAATGGATTTTAACGGAAACACAATTATATGAAAGAAACAAAAAGATTGAAGAAAATCGTATCAAAAGAAAACAAATCATTTGCAATAAAACTCAAGAATCGTTACAATTATGCGAAATAAATACAACTAATAATATAGTTAAAAGTGATAACTCTATCGAATCAACTTTGCAACTAAATCAATCAATTGCAAAAATAATTTACCCTGATGCCACATGTCTTAATAACATTGAATTAAATTACTTGACTGAAGTATATAATCTATTTAAAATCGATCATTTGCCCAAAACAAATACCAATATTATTTGCATTAAATCATGTCGCGAGATGCAAAAGATGGTGATTTCAAGTTTTGACAAATTTTTAACCATTTTAATTGCTCGCACAAAACGATTGAATGCTTTCAACAGCATGTGCGCCAACGACCAAATCGCCCTGGTCAAATATAGCTGCTTTGAGATACAAATACTCAAAAGTACCCAGTTTTTTAATTACCAAACACGATGTTTTACATTCCCAAGGGTGTGTTCAAGTATTTGTAATTTGCATTTGATTCTAGAATATATTATAATAATGTATTATTTGTAAGATAAATAATTAATTTAATTAAATTTAATAATAGCCAACTCGTGAAACACTAACAATATCTCTGGATTTATGTAAATATCATAAGCGAAAT